ATATATATATATATATATATATATATATAATGCTATATTATATGATGATTTCTAATATGTAATCTTGTTCTATATTTATCAATAATCGACGCATTTCATGTCTTTGTTATTGTTTCGTAGGATTGCACTAAAATCTTCTTATGGTGGAATATGCACTTCAATTGTTGCTTTTGCAGAAATGTCTTTATGCGTAATGCCTTAAACTAAACTGTTTCTATTTTCTTATGAACCTCAATGATAGTTGATTGAGTGCCAATAGAGAGAAAAGAAAAGAAAAAGGGAAATGTTTCTTTGTAAAACTTGAGCTTGTTAACAATACTGGCATGTTTATATACTTGAATATTCATATCCCTGCAAATTCTTGATTAGCGATATTGATATTCAATAGTTATTCATGTTTTTTGATTTTGTTTACGTAGCAACTTAATATCTATGGTTTTAGTTTCTACTTTTTTGAAGCATATAATATATATATAAGCAAACATCTTCTATTGTTTATTTTTATTTTCAGCTTTCTATTTGTCTGTCTTTTTGAAATCATAGTATATTAATTGAAGATAGCTATGAAACGTGTAAATTTTTTTTTCCAAATTTATACCTACTTTTAATTTTCTAGACTGATTTATGCTGCAAATTTGTTGGATTTTTAGAACAATAGAAAATTTAATTACTAAGCACATAAAAATAACACGAAATTTATGTGGTTTGACCCACATCCTCACATAACTAATCCGTTGGTTAGGAGTCTTCAAATCTCACTAATCAACTAGCATTCTTCCGTGAAGGGCAACTAGTATTTTTCCCGGGTGAGTACAAAACCCTTACACCGCTTTGCTAATACTTCCTCTTTCCGAGGACAATTACTACAACACCACTAATTTTTTTTCTTAAGAATAAGTACTCTAATTACTAGTACTTTTATTACCCCGAGAAAAAGTACCACTTCGCCCACAATCCCTAATAAAGTCAAATGATACATTGAAACTTTTTGCTCACAATAGTTTCTATTTTAAATACTATGCAATTTCAAGTAAAAGATATTTCAAATTAATCATGAACGTATAATGATTAAATATGATAAAATAATGAAGATTATTCCAATAAAAGCTTAGTTAATCAAACAAAACTTAAGCTAAATCAAGTTAAGCTAAATGAAATTTTCTTTTATGAGCATGAAGAATATTTTATTTTCCTAAGCAAGATGCGGAGCTTTGAAGAACATGTAAATGAATAAGATGAACGACTAGATCTATCAAAATTTTCTTCTCAAATAAAAGTTTTGCAAATGTAAACGCAAATGAGAAGAAGATACTCGAGGTTTTCAAGTGAGGAGGTAAAATGCATTAGGGTTTCAGCCAAGCAGGAAAGAGGAGGGGAATTTCGGCTAAGTCCTTGAAAGTGCCACAATTTGGAGGTTTGTGTTAGTAATATAAGCTCTTACATGAAGAAAATTGGATAAAAAATAGTTGAGGAAAGAATTTAAGCATTAGAACTAAAAATTAAAACGAATTGGTTCATAATTAATCACATAGGTGACTGTCCATATTGGTTTGCTTAATTGATCCGAAATTTAATTTTAATTAATTTGGAGGCATATATTTGAAGTTTGAATTTATGGGGAAAAAAGAATTAATTTGAATTCAAGATTTATTTAACAGAACTCTTAACATAATTGAATTAATTAATTCCAATGAGGAAAAGAGTGCGGTACCGCCCAAAGGGACTTCTAAATTAGCCAAATTGATTGTTTAATAATTAAATTGAGCTAGGAAGAGGAGGGGTCGACCAAATACTTCCAAAAGTAAAATTAACTGAATTTAATAAATCAATTTAAGTAAACAGATGGATTAATGGGCGACCGATAATTTATTTCTAAAAATAATATTTCATTTATTAAATTACATCAATTATATTAATTTAAATAATTTAAAAAATTAATTAATTAATTCCAGTAATTTCATAAAATTAGTAATTTTATTCATAATATTTGAAAATTGAAATTCAAAAGGGTTGTATTTTTGAAAACTTTTCAAAAATAAGTTTACATATTTTTGGAGAATTTTTATGAAGAATTAACTAAAATTTTAATTTATGAATGTAAGGAATTTTCATGATTATTTCAACGCAATTTGATTTAAATAAATTTTTGAAATTCATGGCAGGAATATTTCTTAAATTTAGAAATTTAAAATTTAAATTGTTCTTCATAAAAAAAGATTACCAAAATTATGTAAACTTATTTTTGAAAAGTTTTTAGAAAAACATCCATTTTAAATTTCAAATTTTAAATCTTTATGAATAAAATCACTATCTTGATAATACTAATGTGAGTAAATTAATTAAAGTATTTATCACGATTTAATTTAATAAAATAAATTAAATGCTATTTTCAGAAATAACTGGTTGGCCACCCATAATTTAAAGAAAATTTTCACTCTTAGCGAAAACCCTCATGCATTTTGCCTTCTCATTTGAAAATCTCAAGTGTCTTTTTCTTCTTTGATCTTATACTTGCATAATTTTTGTTTGAGAATAAATTTTTGAGAGAGATAGATTTTTGTAAGTTACTCATAAATAGGAAAAAACTATATGATTTTTAATAAAAGAACTTTAGTAGTTGAGAAATACACTCCTGTTTATTTTGATTAAACTATTCCTTTTAGACCATCTATAGATGCAGAAAAGGAAGATGAAATCCTACCTTAGATGAAAAAATTGAAATTAGAAAAACATAATGAGAATGCAACATGGCCTAGAGAATGAAGATACTCCTCAAGTAACCCTAAAAAACTCATTGTAGGAGGCTCAATAGTTGGTGAGGGAAATGGAAGTAATTCAAGACAAGACAATAATAATACTACATTCTTATTTTTAATTGAACCTGCTAATATAGATGAGGCCTTGGGTGATGAATTTTGGATCAGTGCTATTTAGTTTGAATTAAACCAATTCAGTAGAAATGATATTTGTGAATTAGTGCCAAGTCCCCCTGAACAAGGCATAATTAGGAAAATATTGTCATAACTTGAAATATTACAACAATAACAAGCCTTTATCCCACTAAGTGGTCTATTGCATGAATCCTTTTTTCTTCATTGTGTCCTATTGATCTAATAAAATAAGATCATTTTTAATATAATATGCTTGTCTTTTTAGGTTTACCTCTGCCTTTCTAAGCATAAGTCGAATCTAAAACATTTACTCTCCTAATTGGATCATTAGATAGTCGACGTTTAATGTGACTAAGTCATCTAAGGAGCCTCTCTCTAATCTTGTTTGTCACTGGAGCTACACCAACTCTTTAATCTCTTTCACGGATACATTAGTTTCACATTTTATCTCTAACTGTCAAGCCACTCATCCACCTAAGCATTCTCATCTCACCAACACTTAATTTTATTCTTCTCTTTTAAAGACCAACATTCAGCGCCATATAGCATTGCCGCTCTTACCACCGTCTTATAAAATTTTCCTTTCAGTTTAAGCGATACTTTTCTATCACACGAAAGGCCCAAAGCTTTCCTCCACTTCAACCGACCAACTTGAATTCTACTATTAACATCCCCATCTATATCACCATCGTTTTGAACAATGGACCCAAGATATCTAAATCGTTCACACTTTTTAATAATTTGATCACCCAAAGTCACACTTTTGTCACTAGAGCTATTACTACTAAAATTACATTCCATGTATTCAGTTTTAGTTCTACTTAAACGAAGGCCTTTAGACTCCAATGTAGACAAGGAATAGTTAAAAATAAATTGAATGAATTTGGAATAGTGATAAGGAACAAAGTTAGATTTATGGCTAAATGGTACAACCAAATAGAAGAAATAGACTTTGAAGAAATCTTTGCCCCTGTAACCTCACTAGAAGCCATCCGACTACCAATTCACTAGAAATGATATTTGGAAATTAGTGTAAAGACCTTCAAAACAAAATATAATTGGAATTAAATGGGAAATAAAAAATAAGTTGAATGAATCTGAAATAGTGATAAGGAGCAAACTTAGATTTATGGTCAAATGGTACAGCCAAATTGAAGGAATTGACTTTGAAGAACCCTTTGACCCTGTAGCCCGACTAGAAGCCATCAGACTAACATTAGTATTTTCATATTTTAAAAGATTTAAGTTATATTAAATGGATATTAAGAGTCCTTTCTTAAATTGTATAATTGAGGAAGAAGTATATGTTGAACAACCTCCTGGTTTTGAAAGTTCAATGCATTTTGATTATGTATACAATTTAAAAAGAGTATTTTATGAAGTTAAATAAGCACCGTAGGCTTTGTATACTAAGCTTAGTTTATTTCTTTTGCAAAACTCCTTTGAAATAGATTATTTAGAAATTACTTTCTTCATAGAAAGAATTGATAATGATATCTTTATTTTTCAATTATATGCAGATGCAATATTTTTAAAAGCACACTTCACGAACAAAACAAAGCGAAACACGTGAAGCTTGCTTCGCTTTGCTAAAGCGTGCTTCAAAGCGTTAAAATTAATTTATAGGTTTTTTTTCCAATTTTAAGGTTTTTTAATTATTGCAACAAACTATTAGAAATTATTTGAAATTTTAATTTGTTGATTCACCCAAATTATTTGCCTTGAAGTTAGATATTATACAAATTTCTTTTCTATTTTATATTAACTTTTATGTCATACATTTTATTTTATAAATGTTAATGAATGTATTTATACATAAATAGTTTTATTTAACTTATTAGTGCTTTGGCTAATAAAAGTGCCGCTTCGCTTTGTGATTTGTGCTTTAAAGGAAAAAATAAAGCCCTTCACATTGCATTGCACTTTGATAACACTGTGTAGATGATATCCTTTTTGGCTCAACTAACAAAGCAGGAAGTCATGAATTTGCCTACATATGTAAAGAATTCGAAAAGAGTATGATGAGAGAATTAACTTATTTTTTAGGCTTTAATGTAGACCAAATAAAAGATAGGACATTTTTGAGTCAAACAAAATGTACTAAATAATTAATTAAACAGTTTGACATGGAAGATTATAAGAGTGCAAACATCCCTATGAGCCCTACAACTCAATTAGACATATTTAAATGAAAAATTTATTGATCCTAAGAAATATAAAGGGATAATTGGTTCATTGTTTTATTTAATAGCTAGTCAACTCAATATAATGTTTAGTGGCTACTTCTGTGCACATTTTCAATGCAACATTAAACAGTCACACTTAACTACAGTAAAGAGAATCTTTAGTTGCCTTATAGGTACTACAGGATTAGGAATTTGGTACGTTAGGAATAGTATATCTTTTGACTTCGTTTTTCAGATTCAGTTTTTGCTGGATGTAGGGTAGATAGAAAGAGCACATCACCAACATGCCACATGGCATTCATCTCAATAGCTTTATTCACGGCATTAATTGAATCTATTATTGCAGGATGTTGTGTTGCCTATATTTAATGGCTGAAGCAACAACTTTTTGATTTTGGATTAAAAATGAATTATAATGTGTGATAATACAAGCTTTATAGGTGTACAAAAAAAAAAAAAGTCATACAACATTTTAAGACAAAGTATATTGATATTCTTCATCATTTTATTAGAGATTGTGTCTAAAGGAGATGTTGATTCAATTTATTAACACTGAAATTCAATTAGCTGATATATTCACAAAGTGCTTAACTCGAATAGGTTTTGTTCACTTAGAAATAGGCTTGAAATAATTGATTTAAATGCATAAGAAACCCCTAGAAATTTCACTTACAAATCTTTTGATGTTGACAAAAAGGGAGGATAAATTATGTTGGTTTATATGAATTTTTATTTATATATGCAGAAATTCAGGGGGAGATGCTTACTTTAATATTATGCTTTAACTTGTTTATCTTTTTTTTTTTTTTACTTACTTTTTGTTTATCTTTAAATATTTCACTTTTATATCATAAATATGCGCTGAAAGGTCATTTTGCACATTCATCCACATAATCACTAACATAGGTTCGTCATCATCTAAGGGGCAGATTGTTACTCCCATAATCAACATATGTGTGGATGAGACTAATATCATTGTAAACATTTCAGGACAAATACCAAATTCAGCTCAATTTATCAGATTAATCAGGCTCATTGGACCAGAAGAACAATTGAAATGGGTAAATTAATGTATTAATCTTGTTAAAATTGACAAATAAATAATTTTTCGTAATCATAAACTCACCACATATCATTTTGCATACTTCAAATTTTAAGGTACGCCTCAAATTGTTATTGTGAGTTTATGATTGTGTGCAATTATTTATTTATTATTTTAACAAGATTAATATAACAATTTGTCCATTCAATTGTTTTCTGGTCTTTTGAGCTGGTTAAGTTGATTTGTTGAGTTGAGCATGGTGATTATCTTGAAATAACTGCACTGAACCTATTAGTCTCATCCGCATATAGGTTGATTATTATCAAAACCCACTATGTTGTCGCTCATGGTGATAAAAATTTAAAATTTTCTTCATTTTGTATGCTTTTTATAACTCACATTTGATTTAGCTGTAGCTTATTGGATTATTTGTTATGGACATGGGCTAGTTTTTTCCCAATTTGAAAGTATGGAACATAACTGTTGAAATGTGATGAGAGATATGCAACACACAGTGTTCATTTTATAAATAAAACATGTTCAATGGTTGTATTTTTAGTCATTTTCAGGTTCTATAAATTCTTCAACGTTAAGATTTATATTTCATGTTAATGCTAGACATTGCTTGCTTATCATAATAGACATTGGCATTTTCTGTTCTCTTTCTTATTGTCATTATGCATCTTCATTAACATGGGGCCTTAGTTCTATTTTGCATAAATTTTCATGCATACCATCTATCCATATTATCCTTGGTCTATTATTTTTCCTTTTTAATTTTTTGGCATCAATTTTGTTTACTTGTTTTATTGGTAAATTTAATTCGTTATTAATCGTGCATCAACACCTAATTTCATATTTTATCTTTAATAAGTGTTACTGTCATTTTTTCTCTAATGCAATCATTTCCTAATCTCTCCCCTCTATAATTATTTGTCAATTTATTTTGTTTGGTCCTACCCTTGTTAGAATTGTGTATTCCCTTTCTTTTGTATAAGTGATCCGAGGTATTTAAATCTTTGAACCTTGATATCATTAAATGTTCTAGGAATATTTACTAATAATTCTATTTTATGCCCACTAATTGCATATGGTATTATTATTATTTTTTAAACTAATGCTATGCTTCTTGCCTTAAAACTTTCCTACAGTTGCTTGCTCGTGTTAAATGCAAATTAATACTACTGCAAATTAAGCTGATGGATTGAGCCTATTTTGCCATGCAGATAGAAGGTAAGTTCCTCCTTACTTCCAAATGTTCTGTAGAGGGACCTACACGCATGAAAGAAGAATATACTGAAGGGCTCGTTGAACCACCTACAGTAAGTGAACAGGCTATTCCAGAGCAACTAAAGCGGGCATTCGGACAAGCAAGTAATACACTACAACAACTCCCAGCTCCTATAAAGGATGCCTTTGCCAATGGGCTGAAAGTTCCACTTGGTAAGAACTTTACTATTATAGGATTATTATTTTTCTTTTTCTAAAAGTTTAGGTAAACAGGGCACTATAACAGCATGAAGTGTCATAATGTTGCTTAACTGTTTCGTATTGAAGGCTAAATTAATGTTGACCACTTAAACCTTCATACCAAAGGTTATTTTGAATTTTTTCCTAATCTGTCATACCGGTATTTTGACAGTTTAAACTTATTAATGAATATTCAGAACTGGCATGACTAATGGTGAAGTCTAAATTAAGCTCATTCAAAAGAGTTAATCCGTCTTGTTAAAAAGTTTACGGGGAATAAGATGCATGCAAAGGTAATTCTATCATTTCTTCTTCGTTATTACACTTTAAATTCAGAGTGTTTATACTTCCTTTAGTCGGCAGTATGCTTTATAAGAAGTGGATACTAGAGGGGACAAAATTTTGGAGGGTGGAAGCATGGTTAGGAAGGAAGAATTGGAAAGATAAAGAAAAATTGAACGGAATAGCCTTAAAAAAATGGATTGATATTTGGGTGTTAGTTTCTCTTCTTACCTCCTTCCTGCTTATACCGTACCTGGACATAAGCAATGACCAAATACAATGCAACATAAGATTTTGAAATTCACAAATATGAAACATTATAATGAGTAAAGAAGCAACAGTCTTGATAGTTGTTCACTAAAGAATTAGAGGCTAGTTGAAGTTTAAAATCTAAATCTGCAGGATGTCTTACTAATAAGAATGCCAATCTTGCATGTATCCATAGAAACCAGCTTAATTAAGAGAAAATTTGACAAGTTGGTCTTTTTCCGAGGTAGGGTAGTGGGGTCTCATTTGTTTGTAGCACAAGTAAATGAATTAGAATTGAAAGTGAATGAAAAAAATGGATATGATTATTATAAAAATTGAGACAAATGGGGACTCACTCTCTTAAAGTTAAGGGAACTTTCTCGCCCAGTATACTTGGGAATCACTCACTCATGGAGTCTCACTCTTTACATTGGAGAATTAATTGCTCAAATTTAAGGGACTTGCTTGCCCATACTGTCCAAGGAAACACTCACCAATTACACTGGGGAGATACTCCCAAATTATAGAAATATCTCCTTCTCTCTTCCTTAATTTATCTGCAAAATTTATCGTAATACACCCCTTTTATTGCTTCAAAAGTAATCTCTTAGTTGATTTAATGAGATGATTGTTTGGTGGTCAGTGATGGTTGTGAATTGCAATTTAATGAGTTAGTTGTTGGTGATAGTTGATGATTGGGAAAACAATTAATTTCTAATGAATATTTCTTCAAATGCCTACATTTCTTGGTAGTGGGGATTTACATTGGATCTAATATATGTGATTTTGGTCCAGGAGATTTACACTAGATCTTATAGTCTCATAAATTGTTGTGTATTTGTTTTGGATTTGCATTGGGCTTAGAAGGTGTTTTTGGCTTAGGTCCTAAACTTTTGTGTCCTTTTTTATTCTCTCATAATTAGAGATAATCAATGGTTGACTACATGCACAAGAAAGGTTTGTCATGCAACACAAGATTCTATTATCAAGCATTTCCATGATAGTTAATTTCACGCAATTTATGCAAGGTAATAAAGTGGAGGTGTGTATTTTTTTCGATCCATATGGTCGAATCCCCCCACCCCCCTTCACATGTAAGTATTTGATGAACGGGCATTCAATTTAAATTAAAAAGTTCTAAGTACCACTCAATTTAAATCAATATGTGTGAAATTTTGGATTGCTTCTGTTTTCCATAAAAGTCTTGGCTTACCCCTCATTTGGTCATCAAAATGTGTTTTATTTCTAGTGCCACTCTTGTGTGGGATCCCGACGAAGGGCTGCATCCAACCGCGCTAGTGTCTTTTGCTTTGGCCGCCTTCCTGACAGAAGTCAATTCAGGAGTCTATGAGGACTGCCGAGCGGATTATGGGTGAGCCTGACTTATGGAAGAAGGAAAATAATATCAGTGTGCGCCCATACCGTTACCCCTAAGTATAGGTCGAGGGTTGCATCCAACCGCACTAGTGCCCTTTGCTGCGGCAACCTTCTGGGCAGAAGACAATTCTGGAGTTTATGGGGGCTGGCAAGTTAATTATGGGGCGAGACAGACTTATGGAAGTAAGAAAACCAATATTAGTGTGCACCCATACTGCTACCCCCAGGTATAGTATGATGAGATCGAGAGATGTTGGAAATCGGGATCATTCAACCTAGTGTGAGCCCCTTCTCTAGCCCATTCTTACTAGTGAAGACGGATTGGGGTTGGCATTTCTGTGTGGATTATCATACAATGAATAAGAAAACAATAACTAACAAATTTCCCATCTTGATAGTTGATAGGCTTTTGGACGAGTTGTTTGGGGCTGCGATTTTCTCCAAGATTTACTATAAGTCAGGAAACCATCAGATTTAGATGCAACCACAGAATGCACACAAGACTGTATTTTTAACTCAGGAGGATCACTATGAATTTCTGGTTAATTAGAAAGGATTGACAAATTATGTAGCCACGTGAGAGCCATACGACTTGATCTAACATTTTTTTTTACCTTGAGAATAATATGTCTTATTGGGAGGGGAGTAATGTTAGACTGAAACCTACAACATTTTCTACCACTTTTACATCAATTGACCATTATTATTTTTAATTGTTATCAGAGCTAAAGTGTATCCACATAATTTCATATTGATAATTGACAGTTAAACAATCTCCAATGCTAGCAACCATCTTGATACTCCTACACCTACATCATGCTTCTAGTTTGATGATATTCTTTTAAAAAGGATAAGTTGGTAAGAATTTTTTTATCTTTTTTTTCTCATTATTTATTGTTAGCAATGTAGGAGTTCTTTGTTGTTTTTTTATAGGCTTTCATCCTTCTATTCCTCCACAACTTTTTTTTTTCATCAGTGAGGAATCAGTCTTTTTAAAATGTAAAGCACAATATAATTTTTAACATTTTTATTTTGCTTCAAAGTGTAAAGCAAAACGACATTTTTATTAACTGAAATACTTGTAACTTGTGTAAAATTATAAATATAATGATATATTCATTAACAATTATAAAACATCAAATATTTATTAGATGACTTTTTAGATGACTTTTACACTTATAAAACACATATATGCTTATTTCAAATGTAATGAGTGGCGCTGAATAGACCTATCAATTTTTTTAAACCTTTTTACTCAATTGGTTCATGCGAGCCAAGTAAAATTGGTGTTTTATGTGCATCTACACTTTAATCATGGAATTTAATTTGTTAAAAATGCTTTTATTGTAGAGTCTTAAGTCGACGTTGTTTTTACTTAACAAGTGATTTACTAGGAGTGCATTCATGATATGATTTAATGTTGCTTTCATCAATATAAGATTTGAAAATAAATAAATGTGATTGTATCCTTTAGTTTATATAAGGATTATTATTTTACTAAAATTTTACTTAAAATTAAAAAATAACATTCTTAAAAACCCTAATGCATTCATACTCAAAGGAGGGTGTTGGCTGCGTTGAAACTTGTAGTCTTAAATCGACACTGTTTTTTCGTAACAATTAGTTTACTAGGAGTGCATCCATGATATGATGTAATGTTGCTTTCATCAATATAAGAATTGAAAATAAATTGATGTGATTGTATCATTTAGTTTATTTAAAGATTTTTTTTACTAAAATTTTACTTAAAATTAAAAAATAACATTCTTAAAAACCCTAATGCATTCATACTCAAAGGAAGGTATTGGCTACGTCGAACCTTGTAGTGGTCGAGTTCACATCTGTGGCTGCATTGATGGAGGTTGGTCTCTACTCCGATTGAGGTTGAGCTTTGTGTTGATGCTTATGGGCTTGGTGAGGGAAAAAAGACTCGTGGACTTAGGTGCTCTGTTGCTGTTGGTTTGACAAAATGAGTTGCTTGCCTGATCTTAGACATAAATAATTGAATCCTTATCCTTAATCGGCTTGGGTTGCTGGTCCGCTCTGCTTTGCACTAAAGCGCGCTAGTGCCCATCTATGTGAAGTGCCAGCTTCAAACACAGTTGTTCGTGGCTACTACTCGAAGCGGTCCTTTGTTGCTTTGTGTGAGAAGCACATTTCTAACAATGTTGCATGGAAACCCAATATATCACAAGGGATATTGTTCTGTTCTTAACAAAATCTTAACTTCCTTGAAAATTGCATCAAATAAAATCATTAATTATTTTGATAACATGTGAAATATGATGAAAGTTGATAGAAATAAATTGAATAAATTAACCCTTAGTACTCCACAACCCCTTGCCAATATTTTAATTCCCATACTTCATCAAAATTTAAGCCACTTTAGTAACTTCCCATCAATATCACATCTAGATATGGCCTTTATTCTTAAATTTCACACCAAAAAATATTAGCTTGTGAGCCTTTTATACTGGCTGTGGTCATCATGGTCTGTCTGCTATCGTGACTCATCTAAATAGTAGTAATTGATAACAAATATGCCCAAGTTCATCCACTGCTTTACAAGCTTTTTTCTGTCGAAGTCTGTTTTAGCTCTATTCATCCAAGCAAGTTGGCACCAATTATATTGATCACTACATTAATTTTAACTTTATGCACAATAGAGTTCTTGGTGGTTTGATAGAGATGATGCAACAAAAATCCATTATCAAGCATGATCATGATAGTTAATCATGTTTAGGTGATACCGTTTTAGGCTTCTAGTAGGTATTTTGGAAATAAGATTAGCAGGGTAGTGGGGGAGGAATAGTAAGGGAATGAAAATCTGAGTGATCAACAATCACTTTGTGTCAACCGGATCGGGGTAGCCGGCTGAGACACAAGTGATGTGACCAGATTGAGATAACCGATCAAGGCACAAGTGGTGTCGGTGCAGGTGCAAGTGCAAGATATAAGGTGCAAGTGCAAGTGCAACGTGCAAGGTGCAAGTGCAAGTGTGATATATGACACACAATATGTAACAATGCAAGACACA